CAAATGGTACGTTTTGCGATACGTGCACATTTCAAGAGGCTGTGATTCATCTAATTTGACACTGAAATAGTGCAACAACTGTTTTCTCTGTAATAGAAATATTTTTGTATACCTACAACTATTGCGGAGTCCTTGTGTTTTAACAAATTAGATGTTCAGCTGAATAGGATTCCACAGTAAGTGATTTATTAGCATGTTTATGAAACTTCTTACAAATAGTTGCTTCTGTGTGAGGTGTGTGTAGAGTGTGTTTTTCAGTGTTTCGTAATGGATCTACAGTCTTCTTTGACTCCTGTGCCTTTACACAGCCTGTAACTTCTGACTGCCAAGTGCTCAATAAATCAACTAACCACTCTGATTTTCAAAACTGTCTTTTTTAAAGATGAGCAGAGTGTAGCAGATAAGCAAAGATTTGAAGCTCAGGAATCAACGGCTGAAAACAAAATGCCATGCAGTGTTAGGTTTACACACTGTCACTTCCTTCCAAATCTAAAATGACATCAGTCATTTTCTGTGAAACTCTTGTTCCTGTTTAAGATTGAAGACTGATCAAAGATAAAAAAAAAGCAGTTACTAGTGAGTAGTTAATTTTCCACAGTTTTTTGCGTCAGCATTGCTGACACACATCACAGCCTGTGTTGCGTCTATTGATCTGTTGAGTTTTCTTCACTTTCTGCAGTATCAGGTCATGCCAATGACATGGTCTTAGGTGGGTTGCTCTGTATGGTCACATTACCATTAAGACCTGGGGGTGTGTGTCCATTGTGTGGCCTTTGATCTCGCCCCCTCTGTTGGTGTAGAATAACAGGAGACAGGCGACCTGCTGAGCTGTATCAGGAGCAGCTGATCTTCTCCAGCTGCCTGCTGCTGTGATTGAGTAGTAATAATAATAATAGTAATAGTAATATAACAGAGATACATTTCTTATATTTTGTAGTATCTATCTATCTATCTATCTATCTATTTATCTGTCATAACCAGGATATTATGCTGGTAGACTCTTAAATGATGAGATCCATTTGTTCTGCACTAAATCACTTTTCTGACAAATGCAGTCAACAAGGTTCCCAGAGTTTGAGTAAAATGAAGGAAAAATTTAAATCACAATCAAGAGTCTTGATATTCATAATAATCAGAATTCAGCAGGTGTTAAAAGATTTAGTATTGACTTTATTATTTCATTTTAGTATTTAAAAAAAAAGAATGGTCAAAATCTAAGCAGCAGTATGCATTGTTTTAGTCCCCTGCAAAAACACTGACTCTTACAGTTCCCATAATGGAACTCAATGACATCTTTCATTAAAACCTTCTCTGCTTGTTAAATGTCCTCGTCTTTTTAACTCCATGCCCCCAGCTTATAATGTATGTTTTAGTCAAATATTTTAAGTCTAAAGCCTAAAGGCCTGGAGTGAGCCGGTCTCAACTGGAGTCATCAGGGTTATTTGCCCTGAAGAAAGCCCCATTCAGAGCCACAGAGGGCACAATACAAATGTTTTCACAGGCTGAGCAGTATTCCTCATGATGAGTAAACTGACCTTTATGTGCAAAGATTCAAGATGCAAGATACACTTTAGTTGTCCCCAAGGGGCGATTGAAAAGGCACATAGAGTAGTATACTAAAAGGAAAGTAGATTTTAGCAAGCATTTTACCTTCATAACTGATAATTTCATAGGAGAACATAAACAAGAACAAAGCACAAATGGGTTGAGAAAAACATACACACATGCAGCACAGAATTAGGTCTAGAGCCACGATTGTGCAGCTGACTCAAGTGATGACTACAACATCCATCCTGAGGGTCAGTACAGAAATGTGGAGGTCGCACAGAGCTTTTAGAAACAGCAAAGGTAATACTCTTTGTATGACCGTGCGTATTGTGCCAACACACACACACACACACACATAGGAGAGGAATGTGAGAGAAAACTTGCAGAACAGAGCAGCCATTGATGCAGGCGCTGTCTGCTGCTGATGAATCATATTCAGAAACACACTGCTGTTTTGGGACGAGATTTACAGTCAGAGAAGTCACTCAAGAGATGAAGGAGGGACCACACCCATATTTCTGGGGAGTCACAGACCCAGGGAGGGGTCATGATGATTTGAAGTCAGGGACAAGAGGAAGGAAAGAGGAACGCTGGCTCATCCAGGAAGTGGCAAACCTGACCTTGACCTCACTTCCTGAGGTGGTGGTAGTGTGTGTGTGTGTGTGTGTGCGTGTGGAGGAAGGGAGGGTGAGGGTGGTGGTGGTGGCGGCGTGCTGGAGTGGTTCGTGTTTGTGTGTGTGTGTGTGTGTGGTGTGTGGGGAGGGGGCGGGGGGGGGGTTAAACTCGCTGACTTTGTAGCCCAGATAACACATCAGACCTCCCATTTTAATGAGCACAAAGACATCTACAAAAAAATCGTCCTTCAGTTATGAAAACAAGATGAGGACACACTCACAAACATGATTATGATCACATTTCTCACAACTCCCTCGGAAAGCAAAGACTGATAGTTTGGCTGTGAAAGGTTGCCTGAGATATCTCCATAAGGACGGAGAGTTCATAAGAGGAAGCTATCCTTCATCTGGTCATTCAGTCTGTGGTCACACGCACTCACACACTCTTTGGATACTTCCTGGAAAGCCTTTGTGAACAGCTGACTGGCCTTGCCCAGGGCAGGACTTGAGGTTTAGAGTCAGTCTCTTGGGATGACCATTTTACAAGCTCAACACACAAACACATGTGTGTTTGTAATGTTTACAACTCATTATGTGAGTGAGAACAACAGGGAGTGTGTGATAGACTGAGTATGTATATTCTCTAAGTGTTCATTGGGTCATCCTCATGATGGCAGTGAAATAAATAACTAGCCAACACGTGCACATTATATGATTTCTCACTTTTCTGACACATTTATTTAATACATAAGAAATATAAGTGTGTAGAAAAAATATGTAGTTGTGGAAAATGTCTAAATTTGGGCACAAATTATATAATGAATTTGGGAATTGGAATGAATCTGTACTCATGTTAAATAAATTTTATCTTTTTGGTGTAATCTCACTATTTATTTTTTGATACCCTCAAACCTTTTGTACAACTACAAGTCACAATGATTCACAAACTTTTCTTTCTGAACTTTTTTTTTACTCTTCCAGTGGGGAGAGGCTTTTATCCAAAGCAACTTACAAATGAGGGGCAAGACTCAAGCTTCAGCGCATCTTCTCATTTCTCTCAACATCATTTTTAATGACCCCTATTTGAACTAATAATTTGATCTTTATACATCCATTTTACTTTGCTTTGTTCAGTCTTGGCAAAAAAAAAAAAAAAAATCTGTTGTTGAGAAACTGAGTCAGAGCAGAGTATTTAACATGATGCTAGCGCTCCTCCTGTCGGCATCCAAGTGTACTGCAAAATGTCCACACATCAAATGGCACAGAGAGGAGAGAGGTACCAAAATAGGTTTTATTTTAGAACGTTGTCAAAACTTCAAAACATTTTTGCATATAAACCTTTTAAAACAAGGACACAAAGTTTAAGTTTCACAGATTGTACAAAATATTGACAAAAAAAAAAAAAAATCATTTTCATGAGTGATTCATACCCCTCTTTTGCATCTTCAATTGAACCCACCACCGAAGCAAACGCAGAGTGTAGCCTTTAACTGCCACCCGGAGGTCAAGTAAACATCACAACATCCTCCATTAGTGTCCACTGCTGGTTGTGTCTTTCTCCTCTAGAGTCTACAATGAGGCTATACACTACATTGTGCACATCCAAGCTCTTCATAAGCCTCACAGCCAGGTTCAAGTGGAGACTTTTAGTTCATAAGAATCACTTAATCTCTCAGTCTGGGGTGACCCATTATTATTTAAGGCTTGAATTCTGAATCGTGGAAGTATTTCTATGCTTCTGAAACACAGAGCTGAACAAAATCCAAAAGCTTAAACAAACAATAAAAACTAGCACCAACTTGCATCTGGTTTAAGCCCAAGCATTATCAACATTCATCTTTAAATAGAACAAAAAGTTTTTTGTTTTTTTTTGTGTAGCACTGGAACTCAAACTAATCAGAGGTTAAACCAATTCTCACCAAGTGTAAGCTGCTATTATTATCAGGAGCTGTGTGTTGCTTGTAGCTTGTGTTCCCATTAAAATCCTTTAAGTTATATTGTTTAGCAAAGACTGAAAAACTTTGCAGTACATCAATTCGTGAATTACACAAAAATGTAAACACTGACAGTGGCAGGGAGCTTTTGTTTGTATTATTTCTACTTCGACAGACCGACATGCTCATAATATTCAATGTCACAGACATCTACTGTAAATAAATGGTGCAATAAAGTGAAGATGGTGCTATAAAAATGTCACCTTAAATATTGAAGTGGTGGTTTTTAGACAATGGTCTTTAACTTGACATCAAATTAAAGCTTTGATTACCCTCAAATTGAATGCTTTCACAACTTCACAGCTTATAAATTTATTTTCTTAAATTTTCTTTAAAAATTGTCAATTTTGACTTGACTGAAGAGTATACGATCTGTCCAACACTAAGCAGCCGTTTTATTAAAATAAGTCCATTTCCTGAGAATTTACATTTAGCCACTTCTCAACAAGCTGTAAAAGAACAGAGTTGGCAGAAAAATGCAGGCACTACTAATCATCTGAATCAAGCCATTACAAATTTCCACATGCATGGCCCTGATCATCAAAAACAAGATGGAGGAAAGAAAATAACTTCTTCCAGTGTAACAACCCTTTTACTAACCAGTTATCATCTTTTAGGTTATTAATCAGCGAAAAATCAGATTTTCTTTTAGCAGCGCTAGAACTTTTTTTTCTCAGGTGACTTCACAGTAAATGCCACAGCACATCTTAGTGCAGCTTCTCAAGTCTTTCTGTGGTGGCTGCATTCTCACCCACAACCAATAACAGCAAACTGTCACCAAATTAACATAAAATAAACTACACTACAACCAATCTGACACCACTGTATATTAACTTACTTATGAACACATGGTGACAGGCGTGCAACTTCAAAGACTTCAGTACATGTAGAGTAAAATCTACCTTAAACAGGCTCAGGTGAAAATTTAACAAAGTCAGGCCACTTGTTTGTAGAACGCTATCATTAAAAAAAACTTTCACAGATCAGTTTTCATATGTTTGATTTCAGTGAGCTGTAAATGTAGGTGGGTTTCATGTAGTGAACACCTCTGCTGCAATAACCACGTTTATAATGAATGCTTGAACTACTGTATTAACCCGTTGAAACTATGTTAAAGTCATCCATCGACAACATTGGATACAGGATGTGAATCGACAGCCCTCAGGCTGACTCGTGTTAAGAGAGAAAAGCCAACTAGTGATTCACTGTAGGAGGCGACCTAACCCACATGACACACTTACACAAACCATCCTGCTTTTAATTAGTGTTGCCTGTCAGATTCCAGTTCCGCTAAACCAGAAATTAATTCTCAAAAATAATTTTTCAATTTCATCACAAATCACTCCTCTTGCATACAACAAACAAAATTAATGCAGATCCAAAAGCAAAAATTCAACACTGCACTGATTGCAAGCATGTGTAAATTAGGGCGACTTACTTGGTGTCGCCTTCCCAGGCATAAGCATTTATTATGCTTTTGATTTTTAACTATGGCATCATGATTCCCAGAACTGGTCTTTTCCCAAAGAGTGGAAGGTGAAAAAATACTTTCCCTTCTTATTTTGCCCTTCTTACCTCTCACTTTCTCTTGTCTTTCATCTTACATTTTCCCCACTCTTTCTTTGCCATTTAGATTTAAGACTGAAGTGTGCTGTTCATCAAACTAGCTGCAAAGCTATCCCTCCCATCACCTTCAGTTCAGTGCTCTCCACTCCACAGACAAGTGCTCATCGGGTCCTCCTGTCCTGTGCAGAGGCACATCTGTGGACTCACTGCCCGTCTAGCTTTCTTCTTTTCTTGTCCGTTTCAACGTTGGGCAGATCAGGGGAGTGCACGGTCTTAGGCGGACTGTTGGTTCCCTCTACAAACATGTTAGGGATGTCCTGGCCAAAGTAGATCTTACTGTTACCTGCTATGGCCTGGTACTTCATCAGCTCCAGGTACTCTGGGGTTAACTTCATCTGTAAAGATTTTGGAGAAAGACAAGAGTATGTGAGGATTAAATGTTATTATGTGGTTGTGTGTTTAAGTGTGGAACTGTGTCAACAGCATTTTTTTTACCATGTTTGCTTCAGCAAACTTGGCAGCAGTGTAATACTCTGCGTCAGCCTTAGCCTTCTCCCTGGCCAGGAAGGCAGAGTCTGAAACAAAGAGTCAGTGTTGAATGAGACAGACAAATGACAAACCAGCTCTCCAGAAGCCGCCACATACAGGAACACACAAAACCATCTCACAGAAGTAAACTAATATCAGGTATGCTGACCCTCTATTTCAGAGATCTTTTTCTCCGTCTCTTTCTCCATCACCTTCTGCTGGAAATGGATCTCTGCTACCTGAGCCACTTTCTGAGCCTCTGTAGGGACAGAGAAACCCGTGAGTTTTAACAACTGTACAGAGGAAGGAGGTTGATAGAAGGGTTACACATGAGTGCCTGAAAAGGGGAAACTGCTAAAATTGTCACGATGGTCATGCAAATTAAAACACAGCAGGCTGAATTACAGTAATACACCAAAGTTACCAATAATGGCCTTCTTCCTTTCAGTCTCTGCTTCCTTTTCGACCACCTTCTGAGTCTGAGCTGTTATCAACAGACGAGTCTTCTCTGCTTCCCTGATCACACACACACACACACACACACACACACACACACACACACACACACACACACACACACACACACACACACACACACACACACACACACACACACACAAAAAGGTTCTAACAAATATTTTCTTTTCTGTGTGGTCTTATTTGAACTAAATGGGCAGGTCACAGGGAATTTGAAATGTGCACCAAGACTGTGCTAGAGAGTACAGATTTACAAACTCACATGAGTTCAAAGTTCCTCCTGATAGCCTCAGGGATCTTTGGCTTGGTAACACGCACTGCCTTCATCACGATGTCAAAACAGTGCAGAGGAAAAGAGAGAAACACAAAATGGGCCTTTGCTCACAATCAATCTGCCAATAAATTTCACAGAGAGTGAGTGACTGGTTTTCAGACTAGTAAAGGTTTTAACAGTTAGAACTGGTCTTGTGGTAGCTGTTTAGAATTTGGGTAGAGGGTTGATTAGTTGGGATGTTTCTGATCAGTTTGGCCTCATGCATTCATTCATCCACCAACAACCGGTCAACTAATGTCATGTTATGATGTGAAGGTTGTGTTTTTCATGTGTGCATTTTGGTCTACATGTTTCCATTTTGGACAGATGTACTGCACATGAACGAGTTATATTGTGTTTAAGCTATATTCCCTCCACTAACTGCCTTTACATTCTGTCATTCACATTGTCATATAGAGCCACAGTGGGATACATACATATGTGTACATTATAACTGGAGTTACATCCAAGGAATTTATATTTCGTTATCTCATTAGGAGACAAGTACTACGACGTGCAATCACTGTTGTTTCACTTATTAATTTCAATAAGTTGAAGGTTTGCTGATCGCTTCATCGCTTGATGTGCTACCCCCATCATCAAACTTGAAGGACAAAACAAAAGTAGCCCAATCACAGTTCTTGTAGCCGCCACATGATATCTTCATGGCCGATGTGGCCCCAATGTGTAGTTACATGTTTGAGGAAGGTGCACTTTGGCTATGGCACAGTCTGCACTCTGCAGTGATGCTACACCCACTACCCATTAGGCTCCAGAACCCCTTCAGGAACAACTACAAATCCAGCTGAAGTCTTTAACAGGTATTAAAAACACACCAAATTTTATTTTGTGACCAGTATATTGTATCCATGAGTAACCAAACCAAATTCCTTTAGCTCTCACTGCAACTTCAGTCCCCATCCTTCTACTCACTATGCTCATCTACTTCTCAGGTTGTGTGTGTATGTGTTTAAATACCTGTATTGTAAGTCCAGGTGCCATAACATTCAGATCTTTCTGCAACGCAGTCTTCAGGTTCTCATCTATGATGTCTGCAAGACAAAAATAAAACAGCAGCCGTTTCAATACACAACATCATGTGAATCACATTTTAGGAATTTCAGTAATGAGCTCACACCACAAGTCACTTCCTATGTAAGGCATTAAAATGAAACAGTACGGCCTGTGTTATCTCAAACATGTACTCACCAAACAACTCAATGTAGACCTCCTGTAGCGTGTGGACGCTGCAGAACTGGTTAAGTTCGTGGTGAATCTTGTTGAAAATTAGAGTTTTGTCATAATCTGCAGTGTAGTTCCTCACAATGTCGACCACTGCACATAAAGGAACAATAGGAGCACTTGTTGTAATGCAGAGCAGCTGACACGGTTCATGTGTCAATAAAATGAGGAACTTTTGCAAAGATGGAAATAAGAACATTTGGTACCTGCTGAAGGGACCAGCATGTTAACAACCTCTATTCTGTCAAAATAGATCATCACACCACCACTGTGAAGAAGAAGGTGTCTCTTAAATACAAAATATTTTTCATGAATGGTGTGTTTTTTTTTTGTTTTTTTTGTTTGTTTTTTTACAGCTACATCAGTGAGCTCAGTTTTACCTCGTTCCACAAGGCACATTCTTGATCTCATCAGTTTGGAGAGTAGTCTGGAAGAAAAAAAAGAGTATTCTCCTACTACAAGGGTCCACTCATGAACATGTATCTGGATTTAACACATATGACATATGATCATTTTGAAAAGTTTTATGTTCCCGCTTTATAAAAGAATGGAAGACTAGATAAAGCGGAGATTATTTAAGTTAACCTGTGTCTATAATATATCACATATTAACTTTAGTTTTCATGTTGAATGTGAAAGTTCGCTCTTGACTTTGGAAATAGTTTGACAAAATAACCTTAAGTCAACTTCAGACTTATTGTTACGTGATGAACACTGAACCCTCTCCATGACAACCCAACCATGAGATGCAGTCGAAAGCTCAGGAAAATGCTAGTTAGTTGACCTTGAGTTAAGGTTATTTAATTAAACTTATATCAATTTTAGTTAGTATTTATTGTGATAGAAACATTTAATATCTTTAAGAGATATTCAAAAGATTCTGAGCTAAGTTTATGTAGTGGTGCAACAAATGGTGCAAAAACTTGCAATAAAATTACACCACTGCAGCCACGGTTGAGTAGCAACTGTTTGCATGTGGTAGCTGACTTATTCATAGATGAACATATATTGGTTTTCATGAGCAGCACCACATGGTTGACTCTTACTTTCCTCATGCTTCTGCAAAAAAGTCAAGTTTCAGGGCGGCTGAAAGGTCAGCTTACCTGCACTGATCTGTAGGTGGTAATGAAAGGCAGCATAATGTGATATCCAGGACCGTTGGGAGAAGTCAGCAATGCCCCACCCCTGAAACAAATATAAACAAATTGTTTGGTCCGACTTCTCAACAATGGATCATCTACTGATTTTGGATGGACAAAAGAAAAGGACAGAAGGCTGTTAATTCAGGTGTAACAATAATTTATGGTTATGTTGAATAACATTGCATTATAGTACAGGGTGTTTCTGTTATTTAGTCCATGCCATGAACATTGTCAACTAATAAGGTTTAATATCTATACATTTATTTATTTTACATTCTAGTTGTGAACTTCAATTTCATTTCCCCTGAAGACCTAATTTTTCTTACAGGGATCAGTAAAGCTCAATCTAATCACTGTTGTGGCTCAGTCAGTCATATGATTAATTTGTAGAAATGTTGACAAAGCCCACGTTCAGATCTGGGATGGAAAATCCTGCACTGTCTAGTATGTGGTAGTAGCCGCTTCTTCTTCTCCTTCTTCTCTTTGGTTAAACAGGTTTGAAGCATCCATACCTCACACCTCCAAACAATATTTCCATATCCAGGTCGAATTTATATGCATCATTATCAGGAAACAGGCCTCATACAAATAAAAATTGGCCGTCCATATTCAAACAATATACATGTGTTGTTTCTGTCACTGGCACAGGGTCAGTGGTGTGATACCTGTAGTACACAGCGAGGTGTCCTTCCTCTATCTTGTGAATGGAGGAGTGCAACATGATGGCCATCACTCCTGCTATTGTTGCAAACACTGCCCCTACATGCGGCATCGTCATCCTTGCTAGCACTCACCTACAAGCAGAGAAAGAAGCATAAACATACTGAAATATTTATACAACATAATGTACTCAGGGCACCGTTTAACCTTCACTGTAACTGACAGTCTATTGCAAAAGACCTGCAATAAATCCAACTTTCATGAAGATTTTAGTGTTCAACTTTGAAACTGATTTTATGTTCATGATCAAAACTTTATGGTTGTGAAGGCTATAGTTTCTGGTGCTCTTGAACTGCATTGTGTTGTACTGAGAGGTGTTTTTTAAAATATTTAGTCTACACTCAAATGGAGCAGACAAAATATAATATAATATTATGTACAAGTATTTTAAAAGCATATGCACTGAACACTGTTTGGCAAAATTTGCAAGGAATGCAACTGCAGCCAAACATTTTCATGAAAACTGGTGTTACATGGGAAGACAACATTTGTTGTTCTTTACTACATTTCCGTTATTAAATCAAGATCAATTTAATGCCCTGAAATTGTTTTTTCTAGCTCCCCTTTTAAATTAACAGCTAAGAAAAAATATAAAGAAAACATTATACATCATACTGAGGGTAGATGTAGTGTATCCTGACTGTAACATGTGTACACAGGTCATAAACGTCAAATGAACGCAACCCAGAGTCATTCAAAGTAGAAGGCTAACAGATCTAAAGCGTGTACAAGTTTATAGTTGATGTTTTACCCATCAAATGGCTTTCCAGTTAGTATGTATAGTATACAGTCACAATAACGCTTTATATTTACCTGCCTTGATTAGTTAAGTGCACTTCACAAGCAGCCTGAACATTTAACAGCTAACGCTAACTTGCACTATTAGCTTGCAGAATGACTTGTAAGTCGATAACTTGAGGTTAATTCCTTTGTCAGCACAGGAAGCAACGTGTTTGCACCACAGTTACAATATAACCATCACACTCGATATCGGAATTAATTCAATTCAACAACAGCAAAGCCTGACACACCATTCGCCTGGTAATGTTAACATAGCTAGCCTGGTTAGCCAGACAGCTAGCTCTCATTATCGGGTGGGTCAGTTTCTTGTAGCTTCATGCTAACGCTATCTTGCCAGGCTGCTGGAGTAAAGCAAACGAGTTAACTCACCTTGTGCTGCGCTGATGTGCAATGGTCAATTTGTGGTTGTTTGTGCTGGTTTGTGATAAATAAAATTACCGCTGTGTCGAACAGCCTGCCTTTCTGCTCATACCACTCAACGACCCATCCCCCCTAACCCCGCCTCACCCGCCTCCAACAGGTTTCGCTCTTGCTTTTAGTCGTTACATGATGCTGCCTTCATAGGCAGTCGGAAATATAAGATTAGTTTTTTAGCCAAACCAAACCTTTGCAAAACCATTAGTGAAAAGATCCTTTTCTGTGATGAAGCTAAGAAAATAAGTATATGTATGTATAGATTGACAGAAAATGGAGTAAAAGAATTACTGCACTAAAGTACTGCACCATAATATAATGGTTATAGCTTATATCACTACTGTATTGTGCGCGCGTGTGTGTCACGTTATTTATTTTAGCGACATAATATACATTTTTATGTATGTTATGTTATCTTTACAGTTATAACCCTAAAAAGTAAGGCAGACTGCCACGTGCAGCGCCGCACTTGGATGTGTCTGAAGCTTGGAGCTTGACTTCCCTACGTTTCTCCTACAACTGGGCCTTGAGCTTGTTTGGAGGTTCTAGCAGGGGAGCGCAGCTACTGGTATACCGATGGATGGTCGTCCGCCGGGGGGACCTCGTCCTCTTCCACCGAGCGCGGAGCTTCGGGAGGGACACACGTGGAGCGGTGAGGGAGGAAGGGGACACCCGCCTAGCCAGCCAGATCAGCCGAATCAACCCTAGCGATCAATGGGGTGACAGATGTCGCAGCCAGATCGCCCTCACATCCAACACAACTGCGGAAGGAGGACCAGTTATAAGGCGGCACCCAAAACAAATGTATACTATCAGGGTGACGAATATCGACATGTTTGCCACAACGTCTATAGTTCGCTTGGTTTGTTTTAAACAGCGTGGCAGGCGCGAACATTTGTGTCGAACAAGCGAATTATTGTCCTTAGAGCGAGTAGTTAGAAGTTTCCCATGATGTTTAGCGACAATATGTTAATGACCGTTTTTCTATTGGGCAGAACCAACCAATCAGTATTTAGGCATTTCGCTCGGGTTCAGCCTTATTCTCTTTCACAAAGAAAAGTTATATTTTACTAAATTTTACTGAGTAAACGCGTATCAAAAGTGCATACTGTCCTAGGCAGTGCCTTCACTGACAGTTCAAGGTATTGTCATTTACAGCAAAGGTCATTTTCGGCCCCTTTTATCCACCTCAATTCGGCGAGAGATGTATGTTTTGTCCGATACAGCCTATGGTTTTGACACACGATGAAAGGCAATACATTCCGGTTTGTCTTGGCTTGAGTTCTTAGAATGGCTCATGTTCTTAGCTTCCTGCAGCTGCAAGTTGTTCATGTACTGTGTATGAGTGTACCATATAGGTATACATGTAATACATACGAATGTCTCTGTGTATATATTGTATTTAATTTTTTTTTTACGACTGTATTTTTTTAATTGAAAAATCAAATCAAATAAAAATAGATACAATAAAATGTTACAGAAATATTTCACGACACGTTGAGATCAGGTTTATAGCAAACAGACAACACGGTACAGCTGCATATCAAGTTGATGACAAAGAACTGACAAAAGTGGCCATATTGTTGTCCATTATCGAACATATTCTATTCAAATGTGCTAATATTCCTGATATGTAAGTAAAACCAACAACATTTTCTACTAAAATGTTACTGAGTAAATGGCTAATTTTTTAGATAGGGACAATGAAGGTGAAATTCTACCAGCTTACAACAAAATACATATAGCAGACTATGACTGACTGACACTTGGGATAAAAAAAGTACTGTGGTGTATTATTTGTCCAGTGTCTCTATTAACTGCAGATATTTAACTCTTGATGTACTATTTAGTCTTTACAAACACACTGATTGAAATGTGAAATGGTGTAATCAGACAATGGTTTCAGTCTGAAAAAGAGATCTTAACAATCTGCAGTGTGGAGTTAATAATGGAGGTCAGAAAACAGTGTATGAGTAAAACAACAGCAAGACATGCAAAATTGCCTTGCATACTATCTTAATTTTGCATGGTTACAAAGAAATCCTCCACATATGACAGGATATGCCCTTATTTAAATAAAGATAATGTACTACAGAAGTCACACAGTAACAAGCTTTAAGCCTCCCTCATACTTTATGAGACAATGCTTTTGGCTTCTTGTTACTCGTTTTCTTGACATATTCATTTATGCTTGTTAGCTTGTGCTTCATCCCTGCTGTTTGGGTTTCAGCATCTCCCAAGAGAATCCTGAACCCAGGGTCTCATAAACAAGCAATTTCCTGTATGTGTGCAGACAGTTGTCTGGTCCACTGTGTGAATGTAAATATCCAGATACTTATTATCTTCAGCAGTTTAACACTTGCAGAGAAAAGACAAACCCATTCTAAGAAATTACATTTAAACTGCTTGAACAAAGACAAAACATCATATATGTCATACAGTAACAAAATTTACTCACATTCCATCATGCATTGTTTGTTAGCAGCAGTGATTTATTCTGAACAATAATACCAGTACAATAAATAAGTGTGGGTGATAGCTCAATATAGTTTTTAAAATTCAATAATACAAATTTAAGTTAAAACATGAATAGCTTACCACAATATGTACTTCACACATTACTGTCATACAGCATCACATGTATTTAAATGATACAGTATGGAATCACAAAGCTTTCAGATAGTGTCACTCTGATAAGGCACTTGTTTACAGTATATATTTTTAGACTCATAACACTGAGACTTTTGCCAGTTTTTACAGCTTCTGAGGTTGAGCTTTCACTGCTCTGTACTGAGTCCAGCTCCAGTCCTGATCCTGGAGAGAGAATAAACAGATAAAGCCATTGTACCTCTCAATCAGTTACTGTACAGCAAGATACATGCAATTCTCCATCTTTCATCTTAAAACTTGAACGTTAAATTCAAACAGGTTAACCAGCATGATCTAGTAAAGTCAATACAAAATAAACTACACACACACAGTTGTTTCTTCAGGATTCTGTTTATATGCATGATCACATTCCTTCACACCTATATGCCATACCATAACACTGAAGTCCATCTCCTGGGTGGCGTCTTGCAGCAGAGAAGTTAACTGATTCAGGTAACGCTGATTCTCATCCAGTAATTGATGAACAGTTTCACTGAAAGAGACAAGAGACTCTGAATTGATTGTATGTCTTCATGTTTATAGTAATCCGGGAGGGTATGAGTACTTTTCCAACAAGCTACTAGGCTTTAGAGTGAATGGGGTGACCTCGTGTGGCAGTTTTGTGGGTTGTGCAAAACCCAGCAGTTGGTTTTAATAGATCATACAGCTCATTCTGCACAGTACAGTGGGGTCCCAAAGACTAAGACCACTTGAAAATGGGACCTCCACTTTATCTTCTAAACTGCAGCTAAGCTAATGACAGAGAAACAGCCACATAATGTCTTAGTGAGACTGTTCCCATGACAGTGTCATTGAAATACAACTCATACTGTACTCATACAATATATACTGAACTCACGAGAATTCTGAGTTGTATAGAACTTACCTGTCAGTGGGTCGTTGCATAAGTGGCTGCGATGGAGAATTGCTCTGGGCCTAAACACATAACCACACATTGTATTAGATACAGCATTATTTGACTTATACATTTAATACTGTATAAGGGATGTTAAACCTACCCAAAGATGAGTGATAGCTAAGAATATTTTCTGTAGTGCCATTTGTAATATACTCACACAGGCAATCTTGAGGAGATACCAGAACTCTTTCTGTCGCTTCATCTGCATCTGCATCACTGCTGCTTCTGCAGTTTTTATGTTCTCTACAGCCCTCTCCAACTTAGGGAACAAATCAACGATGCGCTGCTTACACACCAGAATTGTACTACAGAAAACAAGAGAGATGGGGAAAACCACAAATGACACACAGAGAACTAAACATGATACCTCGGTTGTGTGTATCTGTTTGGACTACACTTGTGGATAAATTACCTCAGGTGAGTGTACAAGTCTTTCAGCACTCTGTCCTGGTTCTGAACCGTTTGGAGTATGGTCTTCACCATGTCTGAGCTGTCACTGTAGCCATGTGGAGGGTCAGGACCTGTACAAACACATACTCTATAAATATAAAACATACTATATGCCACTTTGCTATTCCCATTTGCAGCCTTGTTCTACCTCTGTGTCAAACACAGCAGAGGCATTAATTATACAGTGCACCACTGGGACTCATTTGTTCAATGAATCCTCCGGGACATTATGAAACCCAACTTATTCCTTGTAGCGCTGACTTGCATTAACAGCAACAAGCATCATCAGATTCTCCATCATTATAATTGGCAAAAAAGAGCACAACAAATTACCGAAACTACAGCATTGAATAAGAAGTGTTTATGCCGAAAATTATGATGTCATAGTGATGTTGAAGTTTGACCATTTGGATATATATAATGTCATCACTTCATAATTTATCCTATTAGACGTTTGCTTTTAATTGTGTCTGAATTAGTGTATGAATTTCTAAGTTATGGCCAAAAACATGTTTCGTGAGGTCACAGTGACCTTTGAGCACCAAAATCCAATCCGTTCATCCGCAAGTCAAATTGTGCCAAATTTGATGGGATTCCCTCAAGGCATTACATGGACAGGCGGACATATGGACCAACAGACAAACTGAAAGCATAATGCCTCTGGCCCTGGCTGTCACTGGTGAGTAAGAATAAAAAGCAAAGGCCCCTGTAACCCATGTCTACTATGTTATATGTGTAATGATTGGTACTAACTTTTGCACTTAGCTTTTAGTTGCTTGTAGAGTTCAATAGCCTTTTCCTCACTGAAAAAAAGACAAAGAGAGTGTTAACTTGTGCATATCACAGTTATTTTTAAGGAAATTATTACAGTGTAAATACTGAGATACTGACAGCTGTTCCATTACATCCCCTTGTCTCCTCGCAAATGGACTCCTCTGCAATTCCACAATCTCAGAATGTAGAGCAACAATCTCTTCATCCAGATACCCCACATCTGCAACCTACAGCAGAAAACATCCCTTAGCATGTACAGGATTTGATACAACTGCAGGTGCGTAGAATTACTATGAATTTAAAAACTTTCCTACCTTTGTAAACCCATCAGCCTTTTCTTCATTTTCCTGCCATGTCTTCAACATTTTTTCTGAAGCTTCAGAGGAACACAACAACAGCAGATACTTTACTTGGGGCTTCAGTGATGAATTTGAATAACAGTACATACCATATCAGCAGATTAACATCAACTCACAGATGCCGGTGTGCCTCTGCTTGGTGTACTGCTCAAGGTCGTGCTGGATGCTGGTCTTAAAGAAAGCCAGTTTGGCTCGGAGCTGCTGTGACTGGGAGAACAGCAGGTTCTTGTACCGCGTTAGGTTGGTGTTATAACGCAGCAGACTCAGCCTGCGCAGACACAAACACAAGATAAGGATGTTTCAGAGTGTGAGTGCATGTATTTCTGTGTGTTTATACACTTACATGGCAGATTTCTGTCCCTGGTACAGGCGAATGTAGTCCTCTTTCAGTCCGCAGACATAGCTGACTGCTTCCCCCCACACCTTTCTCAGTGCAGATAGTGGAAGCTGTGTCTTGGTCTCCCTGACTGAGACAACACACAGTTCACAAAAGACACATGACTCCCACATTAACTTGGACAACAAATTACAATATAACTAGATTGAAGACATCAACAAATATCTTATTTTATTTTACTTTTCTGAATTTTGTATTCTTTCAATAACTTTCAAGGCCGCAGGAAACCCTCCAGAGACCAGCAGGAGCAGGAGACTGACAGTTATATATCTCACCTATAAAGTTGACACTGTCTGGCAGAGGTCTGGCAGTCAGTGGTCCAGAGTACTTAGTCAGGCTCTTATCAAACAGGAAGACTATGGAGCTGTCCCAGCCTTGCTGAAAGCAGAGAACAAGTATCATTTTGCATACCATAGTGTGTGCAGGTGGAGGTTCGCTCATTTGTAAAAACAAAAATTCCAGTGGAAATCTACGCTGAGGTTGAGATGTACTGATTTACTTAATGCATTCATTCATATGGTCTGCAATTTGTCAATTATAACAAACCAACTTATTTTCTGTATCTATTCTTACTCTCACAAAGACTAACTGCAAATTACCTGTTAAACTAACTGCAATACTGAAATACAAAAGCAAAAAACCCAAATCCTGTTACCAGAAATAACATACATGGAACAGTGTAATGCAGAATTACCCAAAAATTCCAAACAAAAACAATATTTTCTAAAATATGGAGATAAAAAAAGAAAATAACAGTAGGTCCTATTGTCCCCTGATGCATATGTACTTGTTGCTTGGCCTGATTGACATTAGACAGTTATGTTTACATTGGTGTCTCATACCAATCCATCTGGAAGACAGTGTGCGGGTGGTCTGCGTGGGTCGAGGGAGATTCCCGTGTCCAGCAGCAGCTCTTGACTCAGCGGGGAAATGCGTGTCTGTGTGTGTGTCTCCAGACGAAGCTGCAGGGAGTGTAAGCTCTCCTCAGCTCCCAAAACCAAGGAGTGCAACTGGGCTGACGTCATGTCCAACACATGAATCACCTGGAGTAACAATGAGAAGTTTCCTTTGCTAACTGTCCATAAACCATAAAAGCATGACATAAAATGTGGTTTTAGTGAGTCTAAATACAGGCACGGTTCATATTTTGGACCTTCGTGTTGAGAATATTCTGAAGAGTAGTGTAGCAGTTCGGCTTGTTTCTCTCAGGATCCAGCCCTCCACCACGCATTGCAGGGTCCCACAGTAACAACATCTGTAGTAGAGTCTCAACTGGCTCCAGCAGTGGCCTTTTAACAAACACATCCACACACAAAGGTTAGATGTAAGTAAGAATGAGCAGCACTGGTGGGTACGAAGAAACGTCTTTTTGTCTCTACCTGCTGAGATTGTTGGGATATGGGAGATGTGTGGAGAATCTGACTTCTCCATTCATGTCCTCTACTGCCATGATGTCCTTTGGGCCTTTGTTCTTGACTTTACTTGTCCTACAAAAGCAGCCAAACATACAACCAGTGAGAAATGTAAATAAAGTCAACAAATTGAAAACTAGATCCACAAAATGTTACAAAAAAACAACCAATATTCAGTCTCATTAGTTTGTCTCCACCTTTAACACAGATATTTTTCAGATCAATAAAAATGTTGGTGATGACTCACCACTGTACAGGCTGCATGTGGTGTAAAAAGGGGCGAAAGCCACAAGTACATTCGAAGATCACTGTCCCAAAACTCCAGTAGTCCACAGTTACAGTGTAGGGTTTACTCTCAAACAGCTCTGGAGCCTGAAACACATACAGATAGATTTATAAGTGCTTGATTGTTGAAAAGTATTGAAGAAACACATTGCTTGCAGAGTACTGATGCAAAACTTACCAGATACTGGAGAGTTCCAACAAATGATGTGCAGAGACTGCCCTGATCTAGGTCTTTGGCGTAACCCAGATCTATGATTTTATGGACAAGCTGGAGGAAACATAGTTCATAATGAGAGCAAGGCACAGAAATCTATACAATATATGACGCCGCAGATTACACAGGCTGCATGCATGTACAAAAAGAAATGAGTTCACCTTCCCACCGATCTCCTGCAGAACTATGTTCTCTGGCTTTAGGTCTCTGTGAATGATCTTGTTTTCATGGAGATACTGGATACCAGAACCTGAGTTTGTAGAACATGTATTCCATATACATTATGCAATCAATAGTGATAACTGTGGATTTTTATCAAAGTAAAAGCTTAGGGAAACATTACCAATGTCACTAAGCAGCGAGAGGACTTCACTTTCCTTTAGCCCACAACAGTTTTCTGGTTTATTCAACACCTACACGAACAGGTACAGAGGTTAAGAGTGCATTGTCTAAAAGACAAGAAATTGTTAAGGGTCTTTATAATTTACCAGATTGGTACCTTGCGTAGGTCTCCTCTTGAGCAGTACTCCATGGCCAATAGAGGTAGATCATTTATAGCAATGGAGCTCAACTCCTCCGGTACTTCTCTGGCCTGAACAACGTTCACATGATTCAGCCTATAAAGGGAAGAGAGCCATACAAGTACTGATGGTTTGACAAGTAAATAATAGTAAAAAATATATTGTTAATGAGCCACGATGTGAACACAAGCAGATGATTTAAACTCACTTCTTCATGATCTGGATCTCTCTGCTCCAGCGGTCTTTGTTCTTGGAGTTCAGCTCCAGGCGACAAAGTTTCACAGCGATCTTGTCTCCCAGCTCCTGCTCCAAACACAGCCAGGGAATAAAACCAAGCCAAAGACAGATCTGGGTCTGGAGTTCATGTTCTCCTTGGTGTACAGGTGGATGACAGAACTTACAATGTGCTGGTACAGGTAGACGTGTCCAAAACCTCCCATCCCAAGTCTCTCCTTCATCTCCCAGGAGCCACAGAGCTGGCTCTGTCTGAGTGCAGTCCGCTCCATAGTGTGAGGTCTACTGGAGCCGCTGGGCAACAGAGGGAGCCTAAAAGGACCTCAGCAAAAAAATGACAAAAACAAGAAAAATATTACATTGACCACAGACTTTTGAACTTCATTGTAGATCTTTAAGCCTTTTTATTTATTTTATTTATTATGCATTTGCACGATTTGTAGCACTCCTCTTTGCATCAACAGGAGAAATGGTGTTATAGCTAACAGTTAAGTGGTATGTATTGCATATACTAATATATTATAATATTTGTATTCTTCACAAGAGAATAACACAGACCCTATATATCAACCACATATTAAAGTCTACTACATATTTCCACTTGAATCTTTTTTATTGCTTTTTTAACATTCCAGTGTTGCACATACATTTTCCCCATGTTTACCATGCTGTATGTAACTTCTTACAGTGACCTAAACCTAGGGTCAAGAGCCAATGTTAGGTTCACTGAAGTCAGGCAATTCAAAAGCAGCCTGACTGTGTGAACAAAAGGTAAACTAAAAGCAACATCTCACTCCACACACATGATCAACTCACCTGTCGGCAGATGATAATTAGCTTCAGATGTCAGAACATTGTTGCTTCAGAGTTAGCTAGACGTGTTGTTTACGCTTCGTTTTCTTGTTTAGTGTTTACGTGAGAAGGTTGAACAGGCTAAATAATATCTTCGCCCTTCAAAATCCCTCAAACGCAGTTTTAAAGTTAATCTTTAAGTTGTGTTTTCGTTCAAATTTCGGCCGGAAAGCCAAAGACGGGTCAGTATCTGCGCAAAGTGAAACTACATACTGACAGGCAGACAATGTTACTGCGCATGCGTGTTCGTCTTCGCAGCAGCGGACGGGACACAGAGGCCCTCCGCAGGACCACTCCCTCTGTAGGGGGATTTCCCACCAGCCCACTTCCAAACCAGCTGACTGAGTCTGCACTGAGGGATTAAACATAAACAGGAGTGTTAAGTAGGCATTTTTTCTCTTTTTACCATAACAACAACCTGATCCATCAGTAGCAGCTAAGAAGGAATATTACCAAAACTTTGACAATGTCTTAATTTGTCCACAAGATGGCGTCATATAGCCAGTTTCTGTCATGACCCGAAAACATCACAGTCTAGTATATAGACTGCAAGGAACAAATGTGACATTGGCTGTTTTATCTGTGTGTGTGTGTGTGTGTGTGTGTGTTTTAGTTAGTTAACCTCAGTGGTGTAAAAATCCTTAGTACATCCTTCAAGTACTGTTTATTTTTATTTTATTTTATTTGCACATATAGTTCTGTAGCATAAAACCATAAAACGGAATAAAAAATATGTGACAAGAAAGGCCAATATGCCACAGCTAAGAAAACTGTATAAAACAACTGTATATAAAACAGGTTTCACAAAAACCAATAGACAATAATCATGTCAACCAGTCATAAAAAGAAAAAAGGAGATGGGAGAAAAAAACTTGTAAGAATATACATAAACACACACATCTGATAATTATTTATGTTGTATACAGAAAGAAAGTTGAGAGGAACAGAGGGCTCCTTTTCTGAAACAAATCTTTTTTGTAGGACATGAATAATACAATCCTCCGCAATACTATCCATCCTTTTCCTGCAGATATTAAGAATTTTGACTTTTTAATATTTCATGTTGAACATATTTCTTGTACTTGTGTTACTTGTAATTTCTCTCTAAGCTTCTACTCCACTGCATTCTGGGGGCGCATATTGAAAATTACTGTTTACGTTTATCTGGCATCTGTAGTAACTATTTACTCTACATTCTACTTATTAATACAAAATATAATGAACTAATAAACTATGATGTATTTAAGCTATCCAGCAGAATATAAAGTTACCAGCTGCAACATTATATATATATATATCATTATATATATATGTGTATATATATATATATAAATAACATATAAAACATATAACAGCTGGACTGTTTCAGTTTATAATACTTGGTTGTTTTGGTCCCAGTCTTTCAATTATCAAAGAGAAGTACCATTAAATTAAAAAGGGGAATTAAAAAGGTGGAAATTTATCTGAGTCATTTAAAAAAAAAACTTTCACAGTTGCAGTAAAAATAGGCAAAGTTTCAAGCCTGAATAATCTTTCACTGTGACACAATATTGTCTTTTTTTGTGCAGTTGATGGATTTAAGTGTCTTAAATTCTGATTCTCAGGAAGAACTCATAATTTCTCAATATATTAAACAAAAGATGATGTTAGAGTTGACCATAAGATGTGCAATGTGTGCAATGTGAAATGTGGTGTGTTAATGGTTAAAGATGATTGCGAGCTGATGCAATGAGGACCAGTGCAATATTCACAGCAACTGTCTGGGATAACATTGTATTTGTTGTTGAGTTTGTGACACAAGGCAGATTTCAAAATTCACTGAAATGTGAGAACTCATTGTTTAGCAAATGTTCAACCATTAGTGATATTCATTTTGATAAAGTCAGCTCAGTTTGTATTCTGCAAACTATTAAGAGGCCAAGGTGAATCTGAGCAGGAGGCCGAGAAGAAGCATTTTGAGAATCATTTAATGCATATATAATTTATATTCAAACTGTAATTTTAAACACCAGCCCTAGTAGATGCTTCTCAAAATTGTTTGGCCTCACAATTTCTCAGTTTTATTTCAAGAAAGATCTACCTTTACTGGTTACACTGTAAAAAAAGAAGCAGGCAGGTATCTCATGATTGAATAGAGAAGCTGAGGTAGTGCAAGTGTGAAGGGTTTGTGTGTGAAAATAAATGATCTCAGTGGTTTTCTTCCTGTTTTACCATATACAACTCCTCCTGTGTTTGAACTTTTTAAAAAGGAGTAAGAAGGCTGTAAAGGCTTTGACATGACTCATTTTCTAATCAACTTCAAGTTCAATTGATCAGGAGTCAGCATTAGAAAAATAATAAGAATGAACTCTCCTTGTTGGAATTTAAAACTTCACTCTGATGGCAGATAGTATAGAAACCACCTTACACTCAAGATAGTGGGCAATTATTTGAGGTCTATTCTAATTTTATTTCAGGTTAGGCTAAAAAAAAAAAAAACTAGATATGAGTCATATTTTGGTTCAGTAGGCTTCTGTTTCTCCTTCCTCAATTTTCTGCACTGATGTCATGCATGTTTCCTGTGTGCAAACTCCCACGGTCTACTGAAATTTAAGCTTATATTATAGTTGAATAAGACAGCATACATCAAAACTTGTCCTTTGTCAATCCATCTCCTTTTTCTAATTAGATGAATATAGATTTATTTGAGAAAGTTGAGGAAGTTACCAGGAACTCAAAGAGGTTTTGAACCTGCAAGGCAGGAGCCTATATGGAGGGTGACTGGTGTCTAGACTGGAGTGAGGGTGTCAAAGAACTTCAGACAAAATGACAAAATCAAATACTCCAAGTTGCACATGATTTAAACCACAATTATCTTGTGTTTCCCTGCATTTGGTAACTTCTGTGTAGTTCTTGTTTTGGTAAAACACCTGTACGAGACTTACAGTAGACTTTTATAAGAGAAGGCTACTGGAGTCACTAAATGAGTGAATTGATGTGTGCTGTTCAGTTGTTTCATACATCCTGAGTTGACATCGTGTGTGCTTGACATATTTATTACATCCTTCAAAGACCTCCGGTCCAAAATTCCTTGCACAAAGGTATCATGTTTGGTTATTGTCACTGTCGAAGAGCAGGAAATGTGAGTAACAAGCGTCAGAGTTAATGAGGTAACTCATGTCGTGCATATTTTACTCAAGAAATCCCCATAAAATCCATAACAATACCTTTTGTTTTAGGGGAAGTGGTTACACATGGTTACATGGTTATTGTAAGATTTCCAAAGAGTGTTTTCTTAAAAGACAACTGATGAAACTCATCTGGCAAAATGTATAATTTTTTCAAGTCTTTCAAGTGATACTGATTGAAACATATAGTTATAACCCTAATAATCTTCATTTTTAAAGCGCCTTTCTTACCAAAGGTACAAGGTGCTGCCCAAGTAAAAGCAATAAAGCAATGATCATTAATGATGCGTAAAGATCACACTTTGAACACATAAAATAAGAGGAAAATAAATACACAAAAGCACATAACCTAATAAATTTATAAATGAAAATAGGTTTTCAGAAGCAGTTTCAAAGCAGAGTTTATCTAGTTAAATGCTGTGCAGATGCATTTGGTATCACCTGTAAATGGTGTGTTGGCTGTTTTAGTTGAGGAATTTAAAACATTGCAATAATCCAGAGTGTCTGTGAATGTTCTCATTCGTCCAGGTCATAGTTATCTCTCTCTCAAATTAAATCGAAGGCAACTGGACTTGTATTTGTCTGTGGAAGACGTTTCGCCTCTTATCCAAGCGGCTTCATCAGTTCTTATGTATTGGTCTCTCTAGTCCGCACTAGTCTGACTTGGTCAGACTAGTACTTGGTCAGACTAGTGCGGACTAGAGAGACCAATACATAAGAACTGATGAAGCCGCTTGGATAAGAGGCGAAACGTCTTCCACAGACAAATACAAGTCCAGTTGCCTTCGATTTAATTTGAGAAAGAGATAATAATCCAGAGAAGCCAAAACTAGGGAATATACCAGCTGTAGCTGAATCTCTGGGTTTATAGTCACTGTAATTTTTCACTACGTACAGTACTTGCCTCTTCTTCTCACTTCTACGATAATGGTAGTAAGGAAATGTTGTCAACTCACAGATCTTAACATTTGTTGGAATCTTCCAATCATTCCCAGATTCTAAATAAATCAGTCTGGCTGGTATGAAAATGATGCAAAAGCAGCAGCACGAGCAGTTTTCTTTACTACAATGATGCATACAAAATGGCATATCAGGACCCAATTCAGTCCATTTACACATTTCAGTGAAACACTAGACCGACAAATACAGAATATATACTGTATGTATGTAACATCACCATATACTGTGGGAAAATCTAATATCCCAGCTACGTGGCGCAAATCAAGGAATCAATGAATTAACTGCCAGTTTGAGTTGACTCTGAATTTGAAGACATGAGTTTGTTTCATTCACTCCCATAAACTTCAGTTGTATTTACTGTTATGTTGTGTCTATATTATAAAGTAGTGTTTTCACTTATTGGTGACATCTTATTGCAGTATTCAAGTTATTGTTCCTTTTAGTATTTTGTCGTCCCTTGTTTACGTTGAACAGAGCCTGTTGACTAATCAAGTTATGTTCAGGTAAAATAATGTTTTAATTTCATGTTTTTAATCATTTATCAGTCTCAAACCTGTTGCTCTACCTTTGAGTATGGATGTGTTCTTCTGCACACACAGCTGCAGCATTTTTCTTTGGAAATATTATGGTTGTGTGTGTGTGTGTGTGTGTGTGTGTGTGTGTGTGTGGTCACAGGACGTGACAAGTTCTTTGTTCAACAATTTACTGATCAGCAAATGGGTGTGACTGATGTTTTTTTTCAGATTTCCTCTCATAAACCCCTCCCACTTATGTGTTTTTAAATGGGAGGTAACGCCGGGAGGATCAGCACTGCAACACCAGAACAGAGCTAACAGCGTGAGTCTGAGTCCTCCCACAGCACAGGTGCACATCAGAGGCTACAGAGCGGAGATAACAGTCACTTCAGCTGGAAGAGATAACAAAGAGCTTCATCGGGATTGCAAGTTTGGACAGAAAGGTAAAACAGATTTCTAACAAAGCTTTTTCAGACTGTGACAGTCAGCAAAAAACATGCAGCTGTTTAAGTTTAGTTTATAATGGTTGAAATATGAAGCAAAAATAATACCAGTTTCGAGTGTAAGTGTTTATTGAGAGAAATTGTGCATCGTGGATTTCTTTTGTCATTATCAAGTTGATACTGTGCCCAAGAAATAATATCTACAAATTGTGTTAAACTGTGCATTGCAAAACTAAAGTGATATCATTTTGTGCACATGCTATACAGTAATCAACTCATCCAAATTCATATTGCACTCACTGTACGGATAAAGATTATGTTTACAGTACATAGTGCACACAGTGAGTATGCTCTATCTGCTGCTCTCGCATCAAAATCTCCGCAGCACCATTTTTCCTCTGCAATAAATACACACGTGCAATCAGCAGAGAGGTAACACCTGAAGACGGGCACACTTAAAGCCAGACAAAGAAACCACGCGTCTATCGAATAGTCACACTCGTGTTTGTCCCGTCATGTGCTAAAAGATGAACTCCATATAAGGGAAGAAGAGCCTTTAAATCCAGTGTTGTTATGTTCCTTTTTTTTTTTTTTCCAGTCCGTTCTCAGACAAAAATATTCCCAATAAGGAGAAGCGAAACTACAAGTCAAGATGAATCAGTTCTTCATCCTTGCCATACTTGCAGCAGTCAGTGTGAACATGGTAAGCAACAATGAGAGGAAGTAACTTCAGGAGGTTTTTGTAACCTGTATGACTGAGTGTGTCTGTGCTCTTCTCAGGCTTATTCACGAAGACGGTCACTAAAACATCGGGACATTAATGATGGTAAGCCAGCTGTCCAGGTGACAACTTCATATTCACTGTTTGTGACCAGATGAATTCAATGTTCTCTTCTGTCTTTGCATTGTGATATTCAGAGATGTGTCAGTCTGGAGACGGGAGCAGTTACAGGGGATATGTTTCCAAGCCGATGTACAGCCGCAAGTGCCTCAGCTGGAGCAGGGTTATAAATTCCTGGGGAGCTTTGGAGGGAATTGGCCCTCATAATTACTGCAGGTATACTTTAAGTCACCAATCTGGGACTTACATATGTTAGGGAGTGGTGTCACATGTTTAATATTGTTCCACTTAAACCATAGGAATCCTGACCAGAGCTTGATGCCGTGGTGCTTTGTCCGAAGAGGGAGGAGGATTGTGAGAGAATTCTGCAGTATTCCCGGATGTAAGATGTGTAAGAATTTAAAAAATAATTGAAATATTTTATGTTTGATTTGAATTTTTCTAATCATCTCTGTTTTCTGCTCCCATATAGGTTCTACACCAACAATAACAGTTCCAACAGCTGTTGATACAGGTAAGTTATGTTGTTTAAATACGGGTCACATCTTTTTCACTGTGACATCTTGTCTTCAGCACTCACTGACCCGACCCGTGTGTCCCCACAGAGCTGACATGTGGTGAGAGGTCCGAGCCGAAGATGCATAAAATTGTGGGAGGTTCTTTCACAGCCATAGATTCGCACCCATGGGTGGCTGCTATCTATCACAAAGGCAGTTTCCTCTGTGGCGGGTCCCTCATCGCGCCTTGCTGGGTTGTCACAGCTGCACACTGCTTCATTGACAGGTGAGAAAAAAAACACACGCACAGAAAACACATCACACTATCATTTCCTCTACTGCTATTCTCATACACTGGCAATATGACTCATATGGGCGCGTAATATGTTTGCTCACTTGTGTGTGTGTGTGTGTGTGTGTGTGTGTGTGTTTTGTTCAGCGAGGAGCTCAAAGCTGAGAATCTGTTTGTATACCTGGGGAAGACTGCCATCAATGAAACAGATGCCGACAAGGAGCAGAGCTTCACTGTGGAAAAACTGATCAACCACCAAGAATATAACACGTCCAACTACAACAACGACATAGGTGAGCACAAACATCACCGTGTGTATGTGTATGACTGAGAAAAAAGAGAGAAAGCTGTACGGTTGCTCTGCGCGCAGAACTCAAAGATGTGTTTGTCTTCACTTTGCAGCGCTGTTGATGATCAAAGGCAGAAATGGAGGATGTGCAGTGAAGTCGGCGTCAGCACGGACAGTGTGTCTTCCTCCATCTCACACTCACCTTCCTGCGGGATTTCAATGCAGCGTCGCAGGATTTGGGAAGGAGACATACGGTAAATACTGCGTAACCTCTAACCTTCAGACTCATGGCTGATCTCTCAGCTGTTTCAGTGATTCTTACACCTGGCGCTGTGTGTTGTCTGCAGGGGCGTGGCACTACTCACAGTTTCTGAAACAGGCCGAGGTGAAGCTGCTCTCCCGGACTGACTGTAAAAGAAAATCGTACTACGGAACGCTCATCACCAACAATATGATCTGTGCTGGGAGCCCTGACTGGACCGCCGATGCCTGCGGGGTGAGCAAATAAACCAGTGTATGAACATGTGTGCATGTGTGCATGTGTGCATGTGTGCATGTGTGCGGTACACTGGGAAAAATGAAGATTTCCTGCTCGCAAAATGTCTTCAGTCTGGCTTTAAATGTGCACATAAAAAGAGAAGTGCATAGAGAACTGAACTTGAGAGAAGTAATCTCATATTCAGATATGCGGTGTGATTGAACCCCTGCGACCTTTGGCAGCATTAAACTGGATGTGAGGAGTATTTTTTCCTCTTCTTGAGAACGGGTTGCATACCCTCATGTTAGATTGGTGACACTGTTATGTGTTATAAATGTTCAGAAACAAATATATCACAGATTGTTAATACTTTATACAGAACTGATCTCACATTTTGGTCCTAGGATCTTCTCGTCACCCAGAAATATTTAGTTGTTGTGATTTCAGGGGGAATAATTTTGTCTTTGTTTAAATTCAGTTTCAGACCATTTTGTGCTCTGCCTATGTGAAAAATACTAAATGATTGGGAGATGTGAATCATAAAAGTAAACAAATTTAAAGATGCTGAGATATACAGATTGTCATTCCTTTATTTATTAACGGTCAGTGTCTACATGAGTCTTTAAAACCAACATGCTCATGTCCTCTCCTTACAGGGTGACTCTGGTGGTCCGCTGGTGTGTGAAGTGTCAGGCCGGATGTTTCTGTTCGGGGTGGTGAGCTGGGGTGACAACTGTGCCAAGAAAAACAAACCGGGTGTTTACACGCAAGTCAGCAACTATAACCACTGGATCGCAGAGAAAACAGGGCTCTACAAATACACTAGAGGAAAAATGTATCCCGAAAAATGAAGCTGTAGCAGAAAGTTACCCGTTGAGCATTGCATGTTTCTTAAAGGAAAATTTGGCAGCAGTTTTCTTTTTTAGGACTGTGTGTGTATGCAAGCATGTGCAGACATAGGCAGGTTTCGTAGCTGATAGGTTTCTTTAAATATTATTATATTTTTTATTAATATCATTATTATTTTATTATATATAATATATAATGTTTTCATCATGTATGTATAAACCTTTCATGCTAAGAGTTTGGATTTTTTAAAAAAAGCTGTTAGAAAGTTTATTTATCTTATTTAATTTTACAAGCAGTTTCTCTTATAGAAGGCTGGGCCTGCTGTTGAGTACTTTTTTTGAGTAATAAATAAAGTATTTGTGTTACATACCCATTGTCCTCATTAATCCCCAAACCCCAAGTGTTTCTGTCCCTCTTCTGCATGTGGCTATTCTTGCAAGCAACACAAACGTGTGAACATGTACACACGTACACAGAAGAGCAACTGCTAGACGAAAGTAAAAAGAGAAACTACAGAAACTAATCTAAAGCTCTTATAACATTCAGGGGCAATTTTTGAGTTTTGACTTAATTTAACGCAAAATAAAAAAAAATTGGATTAAATCAAGAAATAATATGAAATTAAGAAATCTAAAATGCTCAAGTCTGGTAGTCAGACAGTTTGTGTGACTTCAGCTCAGTTGAATTTAAACACAATGCCCTTCAGTGTAAAGATCCCTAAATTAAACACTGGGAGGCACTGTTGTGTAAAATTTGCAGCTCATAGATCATAACTTATTATATAAGTATTTTATTATAAACAATGGTGACATACAAACTGAGTCAGTGTATTCATAACTGAAGACAGCTGTAGTTTCAACCCACACTTGCTGCACTTTTTGAAGAAACTGGATCAATAAAAATGTGTTGCAGTTCGGGGACACAAATTGATCAATCAGGACTTTTCATGAGTCGAACAGAGAATACTAAATATAAAATGTATGGTGTGATATGAAATGTGCTTCCTCAATGACCTCTGTTTTTTGATTTGTCAAAGGAACTTAGTTCAAAATTTTGTTTGAACTTTGTTCTTGTATGTCTCTGATTATTTGAGCTGTAAATGACACGTAATTTTTTCTTATTTGCATTTTATAGACACAGCAAATACTGCACAAAATTCTCATCTGAAACCGACAGAGTGAAGTTCCTCTACAAACAAAATAAAAAAAATGTTGGTTGAGTCAAATCTCACGTGTCCTGTCATTTTTATCTCTATAGGGTAGATTGTAACCAGCGCGGACGGGATAAACTGCTCTACATCTCTTCTCTCTGCCCTGTATTGTCTAAACATTAGATAATGATAATATATATTATATCCTCTGACTTCAAGGGAAAGATAGAGATGGAGAGAGAGATCAAGTCATAAATAAAGCAGATCATTGAGACAAAATGGAAAAAAGAAAAAGGAAGAAAGATGTATTGAAGGAAAGGTGTGACATGGTAGGATCGGAGACAGGGGTAGAAGTCTAAAGTCATGCTACTGGCTCTGTGAGCTAACATCAGCATGATAACATGCGCACAATGACAATGCTAACAAGCGGATCTTCAGCATGTATAATATTTATCATGTTCACATAATTCAATTTTGCACAACAGCTAACTAGTTAGCACTAGCACTAACAATAATCCCGAGGGGAAAATGAATGTGTGAACCAAACTTAGTGGGAATCAACTGATGTTTCAATCAAAACCAAAACCTCATGGTGGTACTAAAGGAAAGGTCAGGTGATCCCCATAGTCATTGGGATTCATCCTCTTGGGAACACGAATGTGTGTACAACATTTCATGTCAAAGCTTTGAATTAATGTGTTTAGCTATTTCAGTTTGGACCAACGTGATGGACCAACACATTCTTAGAGCGACACCGCTAGCATGTCTAAAACTCCATAAGCCTTAATTTTGTCTGAATCACTGCTGTTGTACTGTGTTGTTCCAACGGAAGGTTTTAGTAGTGTATATAACCTATTAAAAATATTTACTTTGGGTGTACAAATACCAGTTATGTGCCCATACAGCACAAAGTTAGTGTCCCACAATCAGCTGTAATGAATGCAAAGTACTAGCCTATGCTTTAATTTCTATGCAGTATTAAAACATACGAATGTAGGACTCAGTAAGAAGTGGCTCTGTACAATAGAAAGTAGTTCTACTAAACATTGCTCTGCGGAGTGGAGAAAGCCGAGCCGCGCATCTTGTCAGAGAGCTTATGATTCCCAGGAATCTCTGTTTGGAGCAGCAAGTGTTTATGTGTTCAGTCGTCTTCTGACTCACACCTCTCTGTCCTCTCTGTCTAATATCCTATATCACTACCACCCACGACCCCCCCCCCCCCCAAAAAAAAGAAGCATGGAGCATGAATGCTGGGTACCACTGCTCCATTCATTACAATCAATCAGTGCAAATACAACAGATGGATTGTGTTGTAGGTATCTAAGTACACTTAGTTGGGCTGAACCACCCTAATTCAGCTGGTCATCACGTCATTATTGAAAGAATATTTCAGAACCTCTCTAAGCAACCTGCTGCAATGCTTTCTATCAAAGTCTGTTTGGACAAGTCCATATATACAGATAGCTCACAGCAGGGCTACTGGAGCCAGTCAGAGGTTGTCCCACCCCCCCTCAATTACTCACACATACCAGTTTACTTTATTGCTTCTCTAAATCCATATATGGGTTTGAGATGCTGCGTATGAGTCTCACTCCTCTTTAAGGACAATTCCTAAGGAAGAGGAGAGGAGAGGAGAGGAGAGGAGAAGAGAGGAGAGGAGAGGAGAGGAAAGGAGAGGAGATGAGAGGAGAGGAGAGGAGAGGAAAGGAGAGGAGAGGCAGTAACAGGGTCTATTCTAACCAGGTTGACTAGACTGTCCAGCATCTCTGGTTTGGATAGCAGTCTGTCATCTACACCCACATTAGACACACACACACACACACACACACACACACACACACACACACACACACACACACTGGGGGATCTCTTTGCTGCAGACTCTTTAGCCAACACAGGGCCTCGGGGGTATAAATACCACTGTTTTTGCTGCTGGGGTCTCTGGTTTCCCCAACACAGATTCAGATCTGAGAAGCAGGGGCAACCCTGCCAGGAACCACACACACACACACACACACACACACACACACACACACACACACACACACACAGCAAGAGAGACCAAGAAACCAGAGAAGTGCCAACACTCATAAATTACAGTTTAAGATCAGTCTGAATGTTTCCCTTTAATGTGTTAATTGCTACTGCAAATGAATTGCTTTCACTTTCATGTGCATACATTTTCAAGTGCAACCAGCCAGGTGGGTTTTAAACCAGCGGGACAGCTGTTCATCAAGGATCCTCAGTGTTAGAGTGAAGAAGTTGGAGGAACAGTGTGTGGGTGCAGCGCAGGATCTTTGAGACTCCTTCCCTCAGCTGCAGCCAGCAGCAAGCTGAATCCTTGGTCTTTATTTAGACCTGGACATTGAGGCCTGGAGACATGAACTCCTGACCCACCTTTTAATGAACATAGATCATATGTCAGATGCAGGTTTGAAGCTTCGTAGAAAAAAACACCAGTTTTCTTCAGCAATACAGGCACTGGTGCGGCTCCCAATCTCATCTCCTGTGCCCTCTAGTGCTTCAGAGATATGAAGATGACCTTTAACCTACCAGGCTGCAGGTGGCAACTTCACAGTTATGTTTACAACCCTCCTCTGTTGTAGATGTTGCACCTTATACCCCTCCTTACCAAATACCTCCTGAAATTACGATCTCTTCCCATTAAGTTACCCCAACACTTTCCTTTTTTGGGCCACTCGCTTGCATGACGTAATTTGGGAAGCGCTCTCATTTGCAGTGTGTATGTGTGTGCTGTGGTGTGTGCGTGCGTGCGTGCGTGCGTGCGTGCATGCGTGTGCGTGCAGGGAAAGCGTCAGTGCGCACCAACACCAACCCGCTTGGCAGCTGTATTCCTTCGCTGTGATTGGGCGGAGGGCGGTGATTCCTTCTGTCACGATTTGGGTCGCTCCCACCGGAGGACACCGACCATCTGAGCCCAGCCTTTACTGAGGTGCTCACCAAAGGAGACGGTTGCACGCCGGGAGGAGAGACGCATGAGGGTTTCATCTCAGGGGCTTGGACTGGCAACTCGGGACTTGTCCTCCTGCCGTAGTCAGTGAGGAAGAGGAGAGGGAAGGAGAGGAGAGAGGGGGGGATCTTCAGTGCTGGAGCGACCAGCCGCCTTTTCGTCTGTCGGGGCTGCGGTAAAAGTCGTTCACGATGCCGGTGTTTCACACCAAGACAATCGAGAGTATCCTGGAGCCGGTGGCCCAGCAGATCTCCCACCTGGTCATCATGCACGAGGAGGGGGAGGTGGACGGTAAAGCCATCCCGGATCTGACGGTGCCGGTGGCCGCGGTGCAGGCGGCAGTCAGCAACCTTGTGCGGGTGAGTCCGTGAGTTTGAACCAGGGCGTCAATTCACCGACAAAAGTGGCTGCATCCAGTGACATTTATCACCCAAACTTCCAAACCCGCAGAAACCGACGCAAACTGCTGCAATGACAGCTCTGACACTGTGGCCTTTATTTAATCAGTGTCATAAGATATTTCAAAAGCAGGTCATCGAAGTGTCCTGCACTGCACATAGAGCAGTTCTTTTTTTTTTTTCAGTGTGGCTTCCAGATACGTTAATGACAATCCCAGCTTGATCTTTGCTCGCCATTAAAATGATATAAAACTGCCATACAGCCCAGCTGACGCTCATGCGTGTTTCACGAGCTCCTGCAGCAGTTTTTTTTTTTTTGTGCGAGTCTGTGCGCACACAACACAGCAACACAACAACATTGTCAAACTCTGCCCGATTGATAATCAGATGGCTGCTGAGCTCAATGAAGTTTGTGGGGCGGAAGAAACGAGCGCTGATTGAATTAACAGGATGCTTGTTTCTCTCTCTCTCTCTCTCTCTCTCTCTCTCTCTCTCTCTCTCTCTCTCTCTGTCACTTTTTGATCAGTAAAGAGGGAAATGTCACTTGTGCCAAAGGGAGAGGTGCATTCACTGTAGGTTTCACTGAACTGAGTGAGAATTTGCAGTTTATTTAACAATGGCTTTAATTAACTCGGCCCATTCATTGTAATAACCTCCACAGAGAATAGACACACTCTTAGGTCATTTATCAGACTCCCACTTCTTCCCTTCATCTACACTTTCCTCCCTTGTTTCCCAACATTTCCGACTCCTCCACCTAAATTGTCCGTTCCGCCTCCTCTGTCTCCTTTCCCTCTCTGTCATCTTCTGTCTAAATGGTCATTTTGTGTAGAGGGAGACTGAGCTTCAG